TTATGCTGAATTGCAGGCAGCCGGTGCGTTCTACTCTCTTTGGCTTCAATGCTAGTTGCGTTTTTTGAAATGTATTGGATCGAATGTGTAAAATGTTGCGAAAGTCTTTCAGCTGGTGACTTTTTTTTAATCCAAATGGGGTCCAATTTTACGTTACTTGGAATTCAGAGCGATGCATTCTTACGGGAAATTAGTCATCGATTTCATATTACCCTTTGCCTTTCTTAGACGATTTTACAGTTTGCTCTACTTAGGGCATTTTCCTGTTTCCAAACTATTCATGTGGAATTTTCTGAAGTGAATTATCGTCTTGGGCCATATACTGAGAGATGTTAACATGAAAAGAAAGAGTATAAAGCGTATAACTGATCACTTGTATTTGTGTTCTAGCCAAATTGAATTTGTTATAGATTAATCAATTCACCGTTGCTATCGTAACCAATATTGTGGCACTACAAGCAATTAATTATCGATTCACCAACTCCTTATTTGATAAAAGTGCATTTAATGATGGATTTAATTTTGCCTTTCAACAAATCTTTTCCTGTGTCTAGTTTGAGAACTAGACACCTTACCCATATTCAAAATCTTATTTATGGTTGTTTTGATCACCCCAGTGAAACTTCTCCTGATGTTTAATTTTGAGATTATCAGTCAAATGTAACAAATCTTAGTGCTTTGATCAGTGTTTGATCTGTTCATTAGCTTCAAGTCCTTTGTTAGCGATGAAATTCCTGAAGTAACAGAAAGTTAAAGACGCCATTGACAATAGATTCGGGGATATACCAGAATAGATATTCACCTGTGAATGTCACTGTTCAGGTTGCTTTTGACCAATTCCCATCCGATATTCAACCAGGTGCAACTACACCAAAGTTGTAAAAAGGTTTGCTAGAACCTTTAATGTCGTGAACTGCACTGCCTATTTAAACAAATGCTGCACGAATTTTTATGATGTGGTCTACCTCTTGGTTGAATGCAATTGTTTAAACAAACGCATGCTTGAAATCTAAATCGGTCATAATTGGGATGGGTAAAGATATTAGCTCAAGGGAATGAACTTCTTAAGTAAACCTGAGAATTCCATCATTACCTGGGAGGTGTGTTCATAACCCTCATTAGTCTTCGCTCAAATGTAAGTGGAACTACTTCATCAGTTGTAATCGTTATTACATATGTTTAATTTTCCTAGTCACAATCCTCTACTTCACCATGGCCATTGCGAATGATTTGGCTTAAGCATTCTGATCACATCAATATAAAGAAATTAAAAAATTTTCAGTGGAAAATTCCATAGCCACAGTAATACGATGGCTTATACAACCCTTTGCAAAATAATTACTTTACTAATGAATTTGCGAAGTTGCATGATTAATGGTACAGTTATCTTGCAAATAATTACATCAGTACTTCCTAAAAATAAACAAATTTTTCTTTGAAATCTTTTTCTTACTACCCGATGAGTATAATCACAGTTGAATCCAATGGGTACCGGAACTTGTGCAACAGCATCCCATCACATTCGTTGAACACCTGAATTACAAGTTATCGCCGGTATTTTAATAACATCTTAAAATGCATGCGTTGTATGTTTCTTCTACTAGTGTTTGTAATTCTAGAGAGACAAAAGTTTTACAATGCCACAAAGAAGCCTTTAATTATTTGTGTGACATCCACCCAAGTTTGACATGCCCACCAATTATCCCCCAAAATGGCGCCGTCGAATTAAATGAGTCATGAATGTAGCAAGAGGCGTAGTTGCCGATTGAACGTCAGGGTTGAAAGAGGGTAAAGCAGAACCCGTTTAGGCGTCAACTTTTCTACACAGCATGCTACTCGTTTGAAGGACAAAATCGGCTTACATCGGAGCCTGTGTCGATGAAATATCAGATGTGTCAAAAAACTAAATCGATTTTGGATTGAGTAGGACAATGGCAGTGCCACAGTTCTGAATAAGCTAAACATTTTCAAATGGAATTCGTTGCAAAAAAAATCGAATTCAGCTTTGCCATGTCAGTTGTCAAGAGATCAGAGTAACCTCGCTTGAAAGCTTGATATTTCTATGTTCCATTGTGCTCCTTCGTTCCTAACTTTGGATCTAATGAGCCGAGCATGCATAAATACCAGTTGATGTCAGAAATTTGCGATAGACACGTTGGACCGAATCCGAAAAATAATCAAGCATATTGTACTAATTTTCCATTTGTTCTAATTAAGAAGACGAAATTCGGGTTTTCTAAATTCCGTAAAATTCCCCACATTAACGCAACATCGAGTATTCGCACAGGCGACAATTGTAGAAAGCCGAAACGAAATTACATGGATACTTCCATATGTATTGAAGGAAGGTAAATTAAATAAGGTTGAGAAAAGTTCTGAACATTAGAAGTTATTTATGGAGTGCTCAACAAATCCTGCCACATGGACCATTTTGTAGATTAACTCCTCAGGCCGTGAAAAGCGCCTATGCATCAAATCTGGAAGTTTTTACATTATGACCAAACAATTGAAGGGATTAAGTATATTAAATTAGCTGTTCGACGATGATTCACATTCCATACCGTACTGAAGTTGACAATTCGATGTCCCCTTTTTACTCATTCGACTGTCATACTCATCTGGCGCCAAACTCACAGACCGCAAGCAAATTCAAAATTTTACCCACCCCCATTGCCCCAGCCACCCGTAGCTCCGCCCTGCCTGCCCCACAGAGGGGGGACAGCTCCGTCACCCCCCCCTCCCCTCCCGCGGCTGCCCACCGGCGCGAGATCTGCTCTAGAGGCTCTGTGGCGCCGACAAATACGCGCACGCAGTGCCACAAAAACTCTCTCCCCTCTACCCCGCTCCTCTCTCCTCCGTCTTCGACACGCGAGCGTAGAACCAGCCAGTAGGACATTGATTCAAGCATTTTGTAATAAAATTGGTTTGTATTTACCCGAAAATAGTCATTTAGATGGAAGGTTGCTTTCTTGCTGCGTTTTGAATAGAGCAACAAGACAATAACTAATGGTTTTTTTAGTTGATGGAAAGTCTTACGTCAAAATTAAAAATTCTATTGCTGTTCTGAATGGATTTGCGGCCCCTAGCTTCAATTAAAGTCCTAAATTACTTGTTTCTCTTCGAGACTATTTCATGTCGAAATATACGTTCAAGTAGTCAGAGTTAGGTGAGCCGTCACCAGCCATGATTTCGTTTCAAAACCAAAGGCGTTTCATCATAGCATTTCATTCTGAAAGGGATTCAGCCCTATAACTTTTTGGATTAAAAGTTCCCGTGTCAAGCAATTTAGGAGACGTTATCGGCTTTAATGACAGAGTTTGTAACAATTTTCTTTCAAAGGAATGTAAAATTGGAATTAAAGAGGTAATCACTAAATATTTTGTGTGCAGCGTTTCCTCATATTTCGTTATTGAAACGCGAATGAAGTAATCAAGCTGAATCACACAGTCTTAATATTTCACCATAGTTGTCTTTGGTAGGGCCGTGCGAATGGATCCCAAACGTTTCACATCCCTGGATTGCATAGCCGGTAACAGGAGTGAGGCAGAGGGGCTGACCAATTTTTCTGGGGTTTTACATGCTACTAATTTTTGAGACATAATTTACCTGAGGCCTTCTTTATTAAGGATAGCAGCGCCATGTACGTGACAGCCCACACAGTAAGACGCCATAGCAGCAAATGCTGTAAAAAGCAACACAGAAATGTAAACACATTAATTCCAGGTTATAACTCAACGCGATTTTTCACCCAACCTAGTCCTGATGACATTCGTTTGTGTAAACAATTAGCAGCACACGAATGCATAAACGGTGGGTCTGATATCAGTCACGTTAACAGGGCTGCATAATGCACTTCCTTGTTTCAAGTCCGAAGAGCTTAAGCAAAGGTTAAAAATATCGAACAAGTACTGCGCCTAGTATCCGGGGTTAAATTAACTTCTCAAGCAATCTAAGCCTACTTGTATTTCCTACGTAAGGAATGTCTATGACCCGTTGACACTAACAAATGCGAATTAAACGCATGAACATTTTATGAGTAGTTACTAATTTCGTCTAGTTTATTCAGAGTTGGTAGCAAGTCATGTGTGACGAGTTTACAAATTAATTTTTCGATACCATCTATTTATGAATCTAGCTTAAATCACAGGAAAGAGTTGATCAAATCCGGCGTTAAACATAACTGTTGCTCACGGATAGGGAAATTTACACCCAATGCTAATTCGGCGTCGTCGATTTGTAACGAAAACTGTACGAAGGGCACTGTTCGCACAGTCACCTGAACTTGCTTAAGTTTGCTGCATATATACCAACTTCCATCTCAATTATCCAAAACAAAAAGGTCGACACATAGCATCTTCCAACAAATACCCAAAGATGGAAGTCGGCAATTCGATTCAGAGTTCAAATGAATCTGGACCTGAAATCGACATCAGAAGCTCATTTCAACACCTTTCTACGATGCACAACAGATTTTAGTCATTTTCATTATCACGGCTCATTTAAGGATGCACGAACATATGCAACCCATGAGGAACGTTGTATTGTCAAGTAAATTCCGGTTTGTTGAGCTAAGGTTAACCCTAGTTGACTTGCGTTTCGCAAAACCGTGGCATCGGTGAGTTTGGCATTCGCTTTTAGCGTCCCCCTCGCATCCAGCCGTTGGAAAATTTGTGAGAGGGAATGGCTGCAATTCGCCGACAACGATGACAGGCGTCTATCCCCCCTCCCCCCTCCCCGATGTAATGTTAATTAGCTTTATGAAATTAACTCGACAATCGCCCCGATTTCTCACATTAACTTGTACCCAATCATGCTAAGAGGCTTTGTGAAGCGAAATTAGGAATGTTCACCATTGCTTGATTTCTATTTTCTGAGGCAGAAATTGTGCCTAGTAGATCGAAGCATCCCAACTTTGTGTGACCACTTAAAAATGTTGCGGAATTGACGCTGCAATCTAAATTTGCTAGAAATTTTATAAACGAAGGGCCAGTTTTCTCTTCGTTCCACGAGCAGCCTTAATACAATCAACGAAAAGGCTGTAGAAAAATAAACGAAACTAAGAGGGGGAGGGTGCGTCAGTTCCTTTTGTCCAGTTGCACACCCTCTGGTAGAGATGAATTGTTGAGCAGCAAAGACAACATATTTTAAACAGCATCATTTGACTACAAGGTAATACGAATGTAAATAAGTTGCCCTCGGTAAATGCTTCACAACTGGTAGTAAGTGTCCTAAGTCAATAATATTTTAGGACTCTGTCAATCGGCTGAGCCAAGTTCGTTTAATAATCACACTTTTACTTGTGTGTGCTATTATGTTTGAAGAGGAACATTTATCGCCTCTTTGTAATCTGAAATTGATTTTCGTCCATGTACATATGTGATTGACCAATAATTATCGTTCGTTATAGTATCAGAGATTTTGTTACACATGGTGTTTTCGGGGTGTGCAGTGCCTAAGTTTATCTTGGTACACTGAGCGCACGTGCCCTTTACCACCAAACGTAAACATTTATGTGAATGAAAGTAATATGGCGCGTACGGTCTCCAGAACACGATGGTGATTCGTTATTGTTATGTTAAATCTAAATGGTCCTAATGGTCATGCATCAGGCCGCAAGATCTGTTCCCTTCGAATTCAGATATTTGGCAAACGAAATGACTTAACTGATCGGTATGCTCATCTCACTACCTACACCCAGAAAGGTAATAATATCCCTTTCAGTTAAGGGTGAACGCAATCTGGCAGCCGTGGTATTCGACGACAGGGGTGAATGTTGTAGAAATGAAGGAGGAGGAGGAGGAGGACAGAGTAGTCACTCACCTGCGCCCCCCCCACCCCAGCTTCGCGCCCGCCCCCGGATTTAGCCTGGCGCCAGTAGCGTGGTAAAAAGCTTAGACTGTTGCTAAGATATTAGTGATAAGGCGGGGATAGAGTAATTGCACCTTAATTGAGCCTCTGTTAATGCACCCACTTGGGTTGCGAAGATCCCTGGGATGCGATAACCTGGAGGAGCAAATAATTGCCCTCCTCCTCCTCCTCCTCCTCATACCCATGCCGTTCCACCGCTTTTCGGACTGCGTAGACTGGACAGCAGTGTGAGTGATTGCGGCACTCTGCGTACAAATTTACAACTGACGAGGCCATGCTTGTTCTCAGTTGATGCCAACATAGTGGGCATTGGACTGGATTTATGAGAAAAGCTGAACCGGTGAAACAATGTGTTCCTCAATTGACAAAACCAGGAGAGAATGACCTGGCATTTGATCACCCTATTTGGCAGAGATGATTTTAAAAAATCGAAAGTGTTTGTGTACGAATTAAATTTGTGAAAAAATACATAGTTATTGCAACTATGGATGCAATTTCTGCCACCAAGTTATGGAAATTTACAGAACATAAGAAAACATCTATTCCGACCTCAGATTTTACTCATTTGAGACTACATTTATTTCGTGAAATTATTTTCAAAATTTGGATTTGATACTGGGGGCATTAAGAAGAAGTAATCATTTCCTAAGTTGTTTGTTTCGTGTAAGACATTCAAACAGTAGGTAGTTTGCATAGTATTTCCGGAAGCCAATTTAACTTCATTTTCGCACAATTGTTAAATTTGTCATTTAATTACGCATTATCAAAGTTTTGCTGTTTTCGACTCTTTCAAACTCATATTCGGTTGCAAATCCTTACATAGTTAATTATACGCCTTGATATATTATACAATTAGTTGTTTTTTAAACATACCTTGTCTTAAACACGGAATCAGGTACGAATCTCTTAAGTCCTTTGGGAGAGAGCTACTTTCCAACGAATGTCCGATTTTGTTAACAGCTAGGCCTCATTGCTAACTCCATTTAATCCAAGAAGCGGATGTCACAGAAAGACTGGATTGATTTTCCATTCAGAACTATCAGCGGAAAAACATATTTCCTATAGGTTCTTTTCGCAATTTTAATATCTAGCATCGAGTCACAAGTAATCTAGCAAAATAACACTTAGACGAGCGATACCATTTTGGCTTGGTCACCTGCCCTAGCAACATCAGCTCCACCTGCTTACCGTTTGATGGAAATACGAGAGAGAGGAAGGGGTGGTGCGATTTGAAACCCGGTGTTCTACATCCAATCTCAAGTTTTAATCTCGTCGTCTTATCAATCATAACTCGGGTGCCGGTAGCTTAGTTAATTACAAATTCCTGAATCTGTTCATGCCCTTCTGGCAATATCAATTAGCGTTACAGCAGTTTGCCTTTAGTTCTAGTGCAAACATAGGATTAAGATATGATCAGCGCCTCACTTATCAATCCGAAAAAAAAGCGTATAAAATCACGAAAAAGTATTTTTCTACTATTGTGCAAATCAAAATGAAACATTTTCTATCCCAATTGCCTTCAAGTCATGAATTTTCTTATTTGTAGATAATTTTGTTTCTAAATATTTCATCCCAGACCAGATCTGATTATCTACCTCGCTCTTGTTCTCGGCCGCCTATCAGTGGGGCAATTTTCGCCGCTAACTTAAGCGTTTACCTTGAATCTTCACGAGCAATAAGTATGAACAGAGTAGTTGATAAAAGTGTTTCCCGACTTCGTTCCTAAGGGATCTTAAAGCTCATTACGTTACGTTAGCTCAAGTGCGACATAATTTAAACGATGAATAACAGAAGGGCTAAATGTCGATTAAATGTTTTTCGTTGATAATTTTCCCTTGCGCACTTGGCCCCATTTTGTAGTGTACGTACCAATCCCCGAAAGGTCAGATGGGCAAATTTGGATACCAAACCTTTTGGCTATAAGTGCAAGCTCTGGGTTTGTTTGCTTGAAAGGGAGTGATAAAGCTGCTTTACATGCTTCTAACTTAAATGGTTTAAGCTGTCAATCAATCCATCAATCAATCAATCCTGTACTTGCAGACCGCTACTTCCCTGATTTAAACGATCCAGCTACATGCTTGAGAAAAAAATTAGTACTTGCAGTTCATGGACGGGGAGATTTGATATACCTGCCAAATGGCGCCGGTTTAATTAGCATAAAACTGGCGCTTAAAGTGTTTTCTCTTCACCGACGGCGCCAAAATCTAAAATGGCAGATGAGATCGCGTAAACACGCGCGTGGCCGTCTGCGCACGAGCGCACTGCCACCTTTGACCAATAGGAAATGAGACGATAAGCCGCACCAGCCCGCTCACCTTGGCAAGCCCCGGGGGAGAGTGAGGGGGCTATTGCATCCAATACTGTCGTTTACAAGCTATCACATGTCATGTCACCATGGCCAACTCGAGTTGTTGCAGTGCTCAGTTAAGCCTCATTTCTGAGGAAGTCATTTTTGCGCTTCGAGTAGTGTAGATAGCCCTCCAAAATATTAAAGATATCTTTAAAAAATCTATTTGAAAAGAATGTAAGAAAATATTTTTTACAACCATAGTTCTTGACAATTGCAATATTGTTATAAAATGTACCATTGTGTGTCGACCAATCTCAGCTAAAATACGAGAAATTAGCAATGCTTGAATAATGTCTTTATCATAGAATATTTAAGTTCCTATTATCTATTGCAGGTGTGGGTGTAAAAAACTACGAGGATGTTATAATAAAACTTACCTCTTTTGCCTATTTAAAGATTCTAAATGCAGTTTCGTAGCTGGCGAGTTGGGCAAGGAAAGTGGTAATTTTACACAAGGCTGACCATCGTTGATGAGGTATTGTTCGTTCTTCGTGGAAGAATAGGAGAGTTCGCTATGGCTTTTGCTCCCACTTTCACATTTAATGAGAATCTTTGATTCAGACGGATCTTCTGTCAAGTTAATTTCCGAAGGCCATCGAATAATTCGTCCAAGAGCCAATACTTCTCTGGGACTGCGGATATTTGCATTCTTTTGCGTTTGATAATAATGAATGTTGGGGCTAAATTGAAAAGGCCCCCCATTACTTCGACTACTGAGTCCGCTATCGACTTGACTTCGAATGTCTGACACCACGGCGACCGGAGACAGGACTGCTCCATCATCGACCTCATTTACAGCCACATGGAAGGCATCATCGAGGGTTTTTTTAACTCTCAGTATGGGTAAACGGACTTCGGGAACTGGGTGCCAGCACTCCTGCATTAGACGGCCACAGCGTGCAAGCAATTTTGAGGTCTGCCAGCGTTTTGAGATGGGTGGTCTCTCGCCTTTAGCATGGACCACCTCGCGCATCTCCGCAAAGCTAGGGTTGGCTGACACTTTGTCCCAGTACGGTACTCGAGCTGGGTAGACCTCACCTTAAAGATAAAGCTAGAGGTAGTTACTGGGACAAGGTACATTCACAAACAAATTCATTTAGTGCGTCGATTACTCACAAACATTAAGAACCGTTGTTGCGTTGTTAGCTGAAACAATGTGTATTCCAGCATATGGTTTACTCCTAAATTGGTCAACAGTAAACCTATGTACGACTTTAGGCAAATGGACAAATCTTCGTGAATTGTGCGGTCGCGCGTACCCAAAAAAATTGACCAATAAAAGATGAGCATTAAACGCGGTGGAGGAAAACCCAACATAAGGTGGAATTGGACGCCATCGTCTGCATACATTTTTTTCAGAAAAGTGCAATTAATTCAACTAACCTTTTTCAGTAATACACCGACGAAAAATTTCCCAGAGCACCAATCCAAACGCGTAGACGTCAGCAGCTTTCAGTTCCTCAAAATCGAAGCCGAGGGTACAGGACAGTGGCGGTGATCCTGTCACCCGATTTTTGCCGTGCAGGAAGGCCGAAACCTCCAAGTCGTGAGGCAGAATCCCTTCGCCAGATTCAGAGCTTTCTTCGAGATTGTCATTAGCTAGTATTTCCGGTGCCATGTATCTTTTTGTCCCAACCTTTGTGTTAAGTACGGTGAACAAGTTGAGATAGTTTAATTGGAGAGCTTTAGCACATTCATTTTGGCAAAGAACATTTACCTTGTGGTTCGGCCGACCAATATCAAGTTCCGTGGATCCAGGTGTCTGCATTATTGCGAGTCCAAGGTCACCAATACTGCAGATGCCATTTGCCTGGACTAGAATATTCTTTGACTTTATGTCTCGATGAGCGATTGCAGGTTTTCCCTTAAAGCCGAATAGCAAAATCGTTCGCTTGCATTTAGATTCAACAGAGACTTATTTAAATGCATTGAGTTGGGTGGGCACTTCGGGCAGGAAAATATAGTTTCACACCAAAGTACACTCGTAATAGTTGTCTACCCCTTTTATCCATGACTGGATACGTGATCAGTTAAATTTAGTTTGACTTGTTTTCTAAAGAAATTCTCCAACAGACGGTACATGTAGCCAGCTGTTGGGATCCTCCAATGACGCCATTAATCAGGTTCTGGGTGGGAGAGCAAAATCACAGTTAGGCACGCAACAGTAAACCGCAGTCCTCGGCTCGCCCCTTGTGTCTTAGCTCAATCATCCCAGTCGCTTTCCCCTGCGGAGTAGTGGGGGTGGATGGGAAGCGACCATCGTACCACGCACTGGTGGCGCCACCGACACATGCCACCACGAGCCCAGACCCCACAGGCATATCTCTAAATTGAATCAACATCAGGGACCGCTGGCGTGTGAAGCCATCTCCCTTCCCCACTCTGTCTAAGTTTAATCTGGCCCAACTGTGGCGCCTCAGGCTCGGTTCACGCCCCGATTAAGCTAGCTTCTAGCAGGTCACATGGACGTAATGTCCCCACACACGACTAACCGCCTTTAGCTTAGTTAATGCAGACAACGACTTCCATTTGAAAACGACTATCGCTTACTGATTACTGCAAAGCACTAAAAGTCATTTTGGATAAATACTTTTTGTCTGATATCTGCTACAAAAAGCAGTTATGCCTCAATAAAAGAGCGAGGTCATTGGTTAACTTGACAGAAATTTAAACATGTGTTCACCTACACGTTTCGTAGATAGTTTAGCTCCAAACACGTGCTTAACCAATACGTCCGTAACTTTTCATGTGGGTTAAAGTTGCTGTGCAACAAACCAAAGATTATCGACGAAGTTGAACATTTTGACTTGTGGCAAGCACAGTTATCAATCATGAGCGAACACAGTTAGCAAGCGTCAGAGAACACGATTCAGTCGGCACTAGTGAATGCACTTCACGTAACTCCGTTCGTTCCGAGATCGGTGCTTAGCGAAGCGATATAAACTCACTTGTTACCTTGTAAAGTAACAACAACAACATCAACACACTCCGCTACTGCTTTAATAAGTTGGTTGAGCTACTGGTTATCTGCAGTTCTGCTCTACTTTCGGTCGGGCCGTGTCAACGTAGATTGTCGGGCCTGGTGTGGTTTCTAAAACCGCACCGGGGACCACTACAGACTAAATGTAGGAATTACGGAATTTGCGCTGACTATGGCCGCGGATGGTGAAACAAATGTTTTAATTCCAAAACCTCAAAGCTACTATGCACAAATTACATTCATCCGCTCACACAACCTGGACCAGACAAAGTTTCGGTGGCTCCGTGACACGAGATTTCAGAATGAATAATGGTAGCCATTTTTATATAAGGAATAAAATATTTACTTCCAAAATTCCGATTATTGTTACGAAATTTGCAACCTAGTAAAAAACCTCGGGGGGGGGGAATCAGCTAAAATCGGGATTTGGACAAGGGAAATAGTCCAAGAATCGCATTAAGCATGAATTAAATCCATGCGAGTGAATAAAGATTTTTTGTTATTGGATAGAGTAAAGAGACGAAATTATATGCATGCACACTAATGACCTAAAGTTCACAATTAAAATTTCACACCAACCTGAAGCCCGAGGATGCAGGAGTGAAGGTAGCAAAGACCAGCAGCGGCCGTTTTGGCCAATCTCAGCGCAGCTATAGTGTCCACAACGTGGGCTTGTAAAAAGTCGTATAGTGAGCCGTAAGGATGATAGTGGGATATAATCCACAATTGGGTGCAGCCATATCTGGATATTGGAAAGAATGCTTTTAAGAAAATGGGCTCGGCCCATCGGGATATGGCATCCCATCTTGACGCCAAGGGAATAGTAAAATGCGAGCACAGAGATATTAATGTCATACCAAAGGCCATTCATCGCCTGTTGACCTATCAACTAACTGTGGGGCTAGAAGACATGAGAGCCAGTCCAAGCAAGACCAATACCTTCAACCGTCGGTATGTGGTGCCACTGCTAGAAGATGCTCTTTCAAACAGATACATGCTTTGGCTGTTGTGTGATAGCTCAGTCACACATTTCAACAAATATATATCAAGGCAAAATCTATGACTGATTGGGAGACGGGCACGGCTAAATCAATCTCCATGGTGTGTCAGAAAATCTAGTCATGATATTACGCGTCTTCGGCATGGGTGGGACCATCGATTACAGATATCTGGAGCTCATCGAAATTAATCAAGATGTCGGACCCTGTATTGAAGTCATAGTTGCTTTACCTAAGGCAAGAATATTATTGGTGATTAGTAACCAGTGCAAACGGTGAACGAGTTCAATACCATTCCTGCTCTGGTATTCCTTGATATTCCATTTAGCTAGTTCTACAGAATCCCAGAAGTACGCAGAAAGGAGGGTGTTGTTGCTTACCGAGACGTAATGTCACTGGCGTAATAGCCAAGAATATTTTCATGTCTGAGGAGGATGCTGCTGTAAATGTGCGTTTCTCGTGCCCAGCTCGCCTCGTCTCGACTGGAGAAGATCTTCACCGCCACATTTTCTCCCCGATACACACCGCGCCACACTTCACCAAAACGTCCTTTGCCTATGTGCAAGAAGGGGGTCAGAAAGATGTGAATGGCGGTGGTCAATCGTAAAAAAATCAGTAAAAGGTATCGATTGGATTTCAGTCAAGTACTTCTTAGCCTTCAGACCACTAGCATAGGCTACTCACTTCAGACGTGCAAAACAGCGATCCTAAGTGGCTGAATGAATTGCGTGCTAATATGAGCGTTTTAACGTGTTTCGCAAGGTTACTGGCACCTGACGGTAGAAGTCTGATCCCAGACTTGAGGTGCTTTCACTTCTCATGTTTGTGCTGTCAGTTTCGTGACACTCACCCGCCAGAATGCTGCCTAAAACAACGGCGAAGATTTGAAGACTTGTCACGGACAGTTTGCTAAAGTTGGTCTATGCACTCATCGACTAAAAAGACTACTGCAGATTAATAGCACCATGGAATTTCACTTTGACGCACCGATACACTCCTGAAGAGATATTTCGCGGGCCACAGTCGCTTGCACAAGAAATGGCACCCCACTCCCGCTTCCACTGGACAATGTGCCGGCAAATTGGTTCTGTAAAAAACGTTAATTCTTGAAAAATTAGAAGGGTTGGAAGTAAGTGGATGCTATCAGTCATTCCTTGACGGCTTCAAAGCATAATATTAAAAAAACATTTGTTTGAATTCCTCTTAAATCAGAATTCACTGAGACAGGACTTTACTGTTAGATGGTATTTTGCTTGGTGTTGTGTTCTGTGAGTTATCAGTGAACATTCCGCGCAGGTGGTTTTGCATGTTACAAATCGCACCTTCCAAATAACCGTTGAATTTGGTCTCATATTTATGATAAAAGTAGATGTCAAACTGACTTTTGCACAAATGCGCAATGGAGGAAGCGTCATAACTGCCCCCTATAGCTACGCCATTTGTGCGGCACTGCATAAACCCCTAAAAAAGTCCTACCAAGTCTCAAGCAGGATTGAAACAATGCTTTGGATGTGCATGGATTCCATCTGGGCATCGTCAGGAAGCCGAAATTGCAGCATGGTAGCCTGCCACAGCGATGGGCACTTTGGCTAGATGCTTGTTCAATTGCCATAAATGTGCATGAGATGAGTCTAACCAGTCATTATCGCAAACAATTACGGACGTTTTAGGCTATACGTTGTTGTTGGTATAATTCTGCTACTTATTAAACGACATGAAAGCATAACTGACAGACTGACGCAAGAGCACATGTTGGTATGACTGCGTGCATGTTTCACACAGTTGGCATCAAGTGAAAACGGTCGTATGAAATACAGCACCTGGATCACTTGCTGAATGTCCACATTTATTCGTGGTGCTTTCCTGCAGGAGGTGATCTGTGAAACCTCAAATCTGCTATTCCCTGAAGTAGAACGCCATCCTATGCACTGTAAATGATGGAAGGATTATGAGTGTCATGTCGACAGCTTTTGGGTGTCGGTCCGGTTCTCTGGTGGCGTCAGAGTTCGATTTGAACTTATGAACTGATTGTGATGGACACGATAAGTGATTGTTTTGACAGGTTTTTGCATTGCACGAAATTTCGATGAGTCAAATGCAGCAACAGGTGGATCCAGGACTTTGGATGTCATGTGAAAGTGGCGTTTTTAAGACCAGTTTCTAGACTCCAAATACATGGCCGAATTGCGGAACGGAGTCACAGTGGCTGCATTTGCTCACGCAGACTGACAGGCCACTGACCCGTTGTGGTAGCCATGGTTATGCCCTGGTACCAGTGTTCATTGACCAGTCATGAGTGCGCCCTTTGCTTCTTGTTTCTATGTCAATTCAAAATAAATGGCGACATGAGCAATGTGATGACAATTTTAGAGAGTCTTTCGTACAATCGACGTTTACCGCGTCCTCTGTAGTATAATCCACACGATCTGACACCAAAAGGAAGGAGTTGGCTACAACACATCACTTATCCCTTGGTGTGCACGAAGTCATGGGTGTTTGATAGCCTAATTTCCGTGAGAAGTACAGAGTCAACATAAACGCGAATTCAATGAATAAGGCCACAGAGGCTAAGCAGAAGTAGAATAATTTGATGGTTCTATGTCTTGCATAAGCAGTTTGGAAGCTGCCGTGATGCTGTGGTCGAAGAGAAGCTTTTAGTGCCACGAATGTCGCAATTGTCTTAGCCGGTTCTCAACACGAGCGGAACCACAGTGGAACAAATCCAGCAACGATCAAGTTTGCTCACTTTGCCGATTACCAATGGCTCGGCAAAAGGCCTGGTAAAACATCGGAGACTGCACACGCTTGATGCAAGCCATACGAGCGTCAGCCTACGTAGGCAAACACTTAGTGTTCCAGTGAAGAGAAGCCATTAGTAGGCGCACCTTTTCAACACCACTGCAAGAGTGGGGAGTATGAAAGGTGTGGGGGGTGGAAGGGGTGTCACGTTGACGGCATACTCAACCCAGGCAATTCGTGTCAGCACCGCCGAACTCAGCGTTAGGGCTCCGAAGATAAATATCTTCCTGTCGGAAGCACTACCTAGTTGATTGCGGCAACCGAAACGCATCAAATGTAAACGCAGTAAAAATATGCGAGTTCAGGATGCTGGGAAGTTTTAACCTAAGTTATGCATTGAGTGCTTTTGCTAGGACGAGCGAACTCGCAGTCAGTAAAACCCAGGAGGTGCTATCACATGCTCAGAAATGAACCTTGAACTCAAACAATGTGTTCAGCACTGCCTCCTTTTTCGACGATGATCTCGATCGTTTGGGTAATGGGCGTATTTTACACCCCAATTAGAATATAATCGAGTCTGGCTAAAGCCGCCGAAAGCCGACTGATGTTCTGCATCTCCACAGTGGAGATAGCAGAAAAGCATTACTAGATTACAGCACGTGGTTTCGTGTATGGCTTCATTGAAACAGTCAGTGAATTTGCATCACGAGTAAGGTGTGATACTTTTATAACAACTTCCATTTACCGAGGACTGTCAAAGGGCACTTTCTGGTTGCTGCAGACACGCCAAAGTTGATGAGGCAAGTCCGTCGTGCACATAAAGCAGCAAGACCCATCCAAGTCGCCTCCACGTGTGATCAAAGTGGTGTTCAAAATGGGTACACATTTGTCAGAACTACTTTTCGAAGTGTCGTGTCGAGCGTGATCGGATACCTTGAATATTTGTTGTCCACGTTTGTGGCCACAAAACACTTTGGAGTGATATTTTGAGGGATGTTGCAAAATCGTGATACGCCTCAAGGTGAAATTATTCAACTGCCAACTCAATTACTTAGTTTGCTCTTTTGCCCTCGCACAAGTAACCGACAGCTACGCGACCACTACTACCTGATAAAATGTGGCCTTGCTAAGGCGTCAGGAGGGTTACGTCTTGCAAAGCCTGGTGTTTTTCACAACAAATATGACGATTCTAATTTGCAGTTCTATAAACATTAAATCAATTAGCTTTAAAAGGCCCAATCCGAGATGGTCGCATTGAAAGTTAAATGTGGCTGAACTTTAATCTCGCAGCCTGACCATTCTAGGTTCATTAATGATGTCATGTTGGTGGCATCATCATGTGAAGAGATTCTTTTTCAAAGACTCGAGAACATGACGATTTAATCACGCCATATCTTCCATGGCTAAGCGAGTTTGTGTTAGCTAGTTTTGTACTAATATGAAGATTATACCCAAAGTAAATGACAATCGTCAAAGGCTTCAACATCATTGCTCCACATTGTAACATTGCAGCAGTGATTCACAATATAAAGCAATTTCCAACTCACGACACTCACATAACCTTCAGAAAACTACAAAAACAAAACTATTATTATTCCGATACATGGGTACACTCTTAGCGAGTGTGTCGTTGTACTCGCAGTAGGATTACCACGCATACCAGTCAATGAGAAATTTGGGATTAGTAAAAGCAATGCGAAAACAATCGAAGCGTTAAGGAAGGGATTCATAGTAAGACTGTGAAAAGGGCCCTCTTAATATCGATAGCTCCCAATGACGTGCTGGCTAACTTTCCCAAGTTAAACAACCAAAAGTACATCAATATTCGGACATATTGGGTGTCTGCATCGGACTACTTGCTTTTACAATGTGTGTATATGAATAGTAAATGCATTCTAATTGCTCTTGGATATGTATACTTGAAATGTGTCAGATCGTTGTTTTATCGATGAAGCTGAGCTTTCACGAAACATTAAGTTTGGTCCTGATTACCACCAATCCAGATTGCGAAAATAAGCATTCAGTTAACTGTGACTTGGCGCTGAGAAACATAACAGAATCGGCCTGACAAAATGCACTAAGGCCAAATGCAGCTAGCATCTCCCCAACATCCTGCGACGTCCTGGTCGGCATTTAATCTAACGTTCTACCATGTCGCAGAAATAACTGCAACTACTGAAACTGTCCGCCTCCTTGAGAAGTCGGTTCATCTGGTGTGCTGGCACACTCATCACATTAAATGATAGGTTATGTGGTCAGTTGCGAAGACAAACTGTGCTGTGGCAAGGTTGGGCTAGATGACAACTCGCATTAAACCCAAGGCTGGTACTGCAATGCAACAGGCGAGAAAGACTTCATGCCAGGATACAAGTTGTTGTACATCCAAGATTATATGTGCTTCATTTTTCTGTAACTTAACCTAAAATATACCGGTGTTAATAAACACGACATGAAGAAGCGTGCACAATATTTGGTCATTAAGTGACTATCACTGGGTTGCTCATTCAGAAGACGGGACAAGTAGCCGAATTGAAAGCTTGAAACGCATCTTGACTGAAGTGGAGGCAGACCAGAACACGCTCTGCACTTACAGCAGTCTGTGTGCATCATGACTACTGTGCCACAGAGCATGCCACAACAGACTACCGAGTGCGTCACCAAAGTGCTACTACCCTAACTTCTGCTATTGGTGATTTGAGTAGCCAAAACAAAATGATTATACCGATTCACTTGAGTTGTTATAACGCTGATAACTTGCATACCCGTGGTGGTTCAATGACCGCGGAGCCCATTGGACGTTGATCCGTGCTGCTTGAATGGGGCAACGACAGTATGTGACGAGTAACTGACGCCTTCTTTAGGGCCTCCACTTGAGACAAATGCGATGCGGAGTCAGGACACATTTTACCGTAGCACGAAAAAAGACAAGGACAGCGTAGTGAGGTCAGCAATGTGTTGCCATGACTGTACATATTGGTCTTGGAAATAATGATGCCAAGATTCCGTTTGCAATCAGAGCACTGGGCGTCGTTGTCCAGATCGGAACGGTGGCAAGCGCAACGATATTTGCTGTAGTCCTTGCGATTGAGGCAAACGCACAGGAGTAGGAAAATAATGACCACGGACAATAAGGCAATGCAGGCAATCACAAAAATCAGCACATGGTCAATCCGAGCATCAGACGTAGGATGCACAGATGCCGCGTTTTGGAACAGCGGTGGGGTACGCGTGAGGTTAAGAGCTGGAACCGAGGAAAGGGGAAAGTAATTAGACGGCGGTGTTGGTGGTTGAAGCAGTCGATCTAAAGACAAAAACGAAAATGAATTTTAGATGAAAAAGTGCATGCTCGTCGCGATCAGTGCAAAGGAAAGCCAGGAGTAAAAATCTCAGATGAAATCGAACCTGTCGAATGCGGTCGATTGCAAAAGTCGCTGTCATCACAGCAAAAAATGGACGTGTCGATATCAGATGTGACAGCACAGGTCAAACGCATTTGAAAGACGTCACTAGAAAAGCATCCTGATATTGTGTGCTCGAATCCGCCAACACGATTTTTCACCGTAAAACAACCAGTTGATGTAACACATGCATCTCTGTTATGCGTTGTCGAATTGCACTTCTCGGGTGGAAAGCAGTAACAGGTTATGTTGCTGCTACGGATAAACATTGACAAAAACAGTCGACTTGGTGAATACGCAAATAAATCAAAACAAACGAAGACACCGAGCTTAATCAAAAAGCCGCTGCTTGCTCGACCTTGACGACAAGTATAACAAATTGCCTAATCATTGCAGAAAAATCCAATCCAATTGAACAAATACTGTTAGCGCCTGTCCAATATGCCAGGTAATTGTTATTATTAACTTGCACTTAAGTAGTTTTTTAATACAAATACAATGTGCATAGCTGATTTCGGACTGAGATAAGAGTAAATGCATTTTTAAATCCGATTTTCTCAAAATGATCTCAAATTTCTATTTTTGGTAACGTCCTCCCGAACTTAAATAACAAAAATTATTAGAATTAAACTGTCATTTGGATTTAAGGCATTTAAGATAGCAAATTCATGCTTGCATTTCTTAGAGATTTTAAGCCACATTGCAAATATTCTGGGTAAGACAGAGTAAATAATTTATTGTGTTCCACTTTCTACTGTCAGTTCCAAGTTTGAATTGCATTTATTTTTATTAGATTTTCAGCTGCATGCCTCGTCCTATTTATTTTGCACGAACTTATGATTGAAGCACATACGAAGCATGTATGTGGCACGACTAGTCAACCACGATATCTCCAATGGCAATGGCTTTAAGTGCCGCGACTCCAGCCATAAGAGGCTACCTCCTTGACACCGACTGTCGATGGGACATTGTTTCTGCCTCTGTGGACGACCGTACGGAGGAGGAGCGTGGACTAAAGGTAATTTCACCAGTGCCAGCAAACTGCATTGCCTTGACCTCACTCAACTAGGTATTCCCACATGTGCGCATTTCATTTCCTGTCTGTCTTATTAACTACTAACTGACTTCTTCTTCTTCTTTGATCTTTATCTCTTTGTGTGTGTGTGTGTGTGCATGTGTGTGCGTTCAAAGCTTAAGCCGAAGGCCGCTTGCTGTTCCTGAGTCGGTAATTGTTCTTTGAGGCAACTTGTTGTGTTTGGGCTATTTCACTTCACAGAGAACTCTTGAGTTGGTGCACTTTAGAACCCGACAATAAGCTGTTTTGCACAATGAAACATCTTCAGACGAGGTCACCGACAGTACTGAAATTGTCTCGCTTTAGGCATTGACGAACGATCATTTCAGAATTCCAAAATCAAGGTACGACTCAGTGTCAGCTTTCATTTCACCCGAGGGTGGAGCTTAC